TCATCTGCAAAATCTCGAGTAAATACGCCGTCTACGGGCAACTGAGTGAGAACAGGACCATCAAGTTGCTCGTTTTCACTGCACAAACAACAAAATAATAAGCTACTCAAATTGATAAATACTTTACATATAGCTATATCACTTCACTTACAAGTCGTAATGTATTGACATTCCATGATGGACATTATCATATTGGTGATGACTTCCGGATGGACCACCATGATCCAACATACCAAAACTACGCATATTCCAACTGGCGTGGGTTCATAACTTGTAAAATTTATATCTCGACGGTACCCCCTGTGGAATATATGAGTGTTAATACAAAATCAATACAAAAAAAATAACGGGAGGTGACACAAAGGAAAATTGAAGTTTACCACTCGTCTTGTGGATTATGTATAGTAGGAGAGAAATTATTTCCTCGCTAATCATTCGCCTGTGGAGATAAGTTTAGATCCGGCCGAACTCTTTCAGCCGGAACCTGTTCGGCTAAAACTGCTCCAGAATAACCACCCGATGATTGAGGGTTATCCCTGCTTTGCGCAACCTCATTATTGCGAACGTCTCAACCTTCACTTACATTTCCAACATTTTTATCAAAATTAATTCCCGGTATTCATCCGGAGTCCCCAAAAAATCTCTCAGAGTTTCATCATCCTCGATGTTAAACTCAGCGTAACAAGCAACCCCTTGCGGAGTGACAGAATAGGGATATCTTTCGGTTATTTTAAGGTTCACCGAATGTTTGCTCACACTCATTTTATTACAAAACAAGGATAGCAGTCTATCGTACTCCATTGTAAGTGGCAACTTAACATGACTCTGTGGAGATAAACTATAGCTCACTGAGTTATTCGCCACCACAACCTCACCCCCACCCCACCCCCAATATAATGAAACCCTTACTTTTCGCTCTTCAGACATTATGACAAAATGCTTGAGAATTTAACGAGAAGAAAAATTTAACATGAGTTAGAATATTTCTGAATGGATTTTTGCGAAATCCTTAACGCCTTAAATAAGGCAATGCCCAATTCGGGGGGCGGGGGGGGGGGGGGTTTGAGGTAAAACGCCCTTTTAAAACGCGTTTTACATATTTGAATTATTGTTATGTCAGTTAAGGGCAGAGGAGTTATTAGTGGGCCCACAAAATAAGTAAAGCGCATTTCAGCCAAAATTTCACGGTATAGCCAGTTTTCGGACTGGTCAATCAAAAATAGCCAGCGTTTACCCAAGTCAATGAAAAGTAGCCACCGTTTTGCTGCAATAGAGACCGGTCCAGCATAATATACTAGAGTTTCGGTGCACTTGTGTATGAACTCCAACATATTATGCTGGACCGGTATACTTTGCTGGCTCCAGTATAATATACTGGAGACTGGAGCACTGGTGCTCCAAACTCCAGTATATTATACTGGACCATTATACTTGCTGGAACTCCAGTATATTATGCTGGAGTTCTAGTGTATTTATGCTGGAACTCCATCATATTATGCTGGAGTTCCAGCATACTATCCTGGAACTCCAGTATAATATGCTGGAGTTCAAGTATACTTATGCTGGAACTCCAGCATAATATACTGGAGTATTTTTTGGGTTTCGAACAGTGTTTTCGGTCAGATTTATCTTTAAATAAAAAGTGGCTAAATTTCGATTACTTTTGAAATTGGGCTATTTTTGAACGACCAGTTGTAAATCTGGCTATTTTAAAAATCACCCTGCATTTCATAAAAGCGTTTTATATAACACGCGGTTTTAAAACGCGCTTTACGTTAACGTCCAAAACGGACGTTAAAGTAAATCGCGCTTTAAAACCGCGTTTTATATTGTTTGGGCACTAATTTTCCCCCCACTTATTTCGGTCTTTTGAGTCTAAAAAAGCAACATTTAGGTTCCGGACTCCATTGTCGGTTACACATTATATTCCTGTTCCCTCTTCTTTTTTCCTACAATAACATGTTGAAATAGATTCAACAGAGAAAAGATATAATTATAATTGTTAGAAAAAGGAAATAGAAATAATAGCAGCATCCTTTGCAGTGAATATTTCCATGCTTTATTACCTGCTTGGCCCCTTTAGTCTCAGATAGACACAAACCTTGAGAAAATAAGAAGAAGAAAAAAAGAGAGCAGAAAATGCATGTCAAAAAGTTGCACCAAACTACAAAAATAGTAGAAACTTCAAAAACTACAGTTTCAAATGTAAGTTCATGTTAAATGTTTTTTATGTATATTTTCGTTAAATACATATAACGATCAAAGCTGTTAATAATTTGAGAGAGACAAATTATTCTAACTTTTGACAAACTTAAAGGACTGAAATTGCTCATATAAATATATTTCAAAGACCATTTTGAATGTACCTCAGGATAATTTTTGTTATTTTCTTCATATATGTACCTTCAGGTTCACTATCCACAAAATGAGTGTTGCAGAAATATGTTAAGATGGACGTGCAGTCACTAATGATTAGATAAAATTAAAAATGACTATATATTCGCCAGAAGGTGCAAGTGCATATATTGAGGATAAATGAGAAAGGTCGATTGAGATGGTCATGTCTTGCTTGACCTATACATCCACCGATCTATAGGTGTGAGACCATGATGCAGGAAGGTGTTTAAAAAAGGACGGGATAGACCTAAAGTCACATGGAAGGAAATAGTCTCAAAAGACTTATAAATCATTGGTATCAATACAGACTTAGCTAAACTAAAGATACAGTACAATAGAATAGAAAAATCCATATAGGTGATACCTACAAGTTGGGAATAGGTCTTTGATTGATGAAAACTTCTATTATTATTATTATTATTATTATTATTATTATTATTATTATTATTATTATTATTATTATTATTATTTGTTGTTGTTGTTATACCACCCCCTACGCCATCTATTCCCCTCCTAATCATCAACTCCTTTTTGGCTAAGGTTGTTAGAGCTGCAAAAGTAGGCAATTGCTTTAATTTGACCTTCTTCAGTCAAGCTTTATGATTCACTCATAATTTTATTACTTCTTAGACTAAATACTTCTAATATCTAATCATGATAATCAAAGCTTCATAGTGTAGCTTTCTATTTTTCAAGTTTCATTCATTTTTTCATTAATTGGACGTTAAATTTAATTCTACAAATTGCTATTTTTCTATTCCAAAAGGCTACACTATGAGATAGCGAGTCCAATAAGTTTTTTAATTGTATAACTTGCACAAATGTAATACTACTTGATATCTCTGTTTTCTTGACATAATTACAACCAAGAGGGCAATGATTTATTATTGGACAATAGAAAAAAGGCAAAAAAGAGAAATCAATTTAATTGCGCTATGACTTATAATGAAGATATAAGAAGCCGTGACTCAAATATACAGATCTCTACTATCATAGCCTGTAGGATCTTAATTAAAGACCTCAAAGTTCATGTGAATTTTACTGTTAAACACTATTTTTACTTAATCTGAAAAAGCAGTTGAAAAGCTATAGTTGATCATTTTCTCTTTTACTTCGTGAAGCCAAGAAATTTCAAAGTAATATTAGTGTAACTGTGACCAACATACGAGAGTGTAGTGTAATGAATGCATTTGTTTCACCTTTAACCAGATATGTCGAATTTGAATTTTAAGAATCAATAAAATTAATGAATGTAATCGTTCCACCTTTATTTTAACCACATTGGAATTATAAAGTAGAGTGTTGAAGTGCGTGAATATTTTATCTAAAAGTTTAATTAGTATTAGTGAGAATACACTTTCATTTGTTTAAATATATCTCTGAATAATTTTTTGGTATGAAGTGATTTTCCTTTAGTGAGCCTTATACGGTGCAAATTTAAATTAATTAAACAAATAAATTTAAGATAGAAATGATTAGACCAAAAAAAGGTATGACCTACAAATTTGATGTAGATACCTACTTACCTTTTGCCAAATGGAAAGGCCGAGAGATCAAATAAATCTCGACGCTTGAAGTGTGAAACTTTTACATGCAGAGTAGCCATCATATATATACAGGGATGGATGGAGCACTGAACCCCGGGTTAAAATTTAAATGGTAATACTCTCGACTTATAACATAAATTTATGACTAAAACTTTATTAAAATTACAATAAATAGCAGAAACAAATTCATAATTTTAAAGATACAATGAGTTTAATATTAAGAATGTTTAAATATTGAACTCATAAAATTTAAATTTTAAATTCGGCATATACACGGTAAGAATAAAAAACAAGAGTAGGTCATTTTGGTCATTTAACAAAGGTATTGTCAATCACTGCCACAAAAGGTTAACTGATGAAGAAACAAAATCATATTATTCCCTTCAATTTTTTTTAACCCAAATAGTAGTATAGCTTTTTCCTGTCTCCATCTATCATTTCCATCTTACTGTCAACCTCTTTTCATTTCCACAAAAGCCCTAACCAGGCCCCCTTTATACTTACCAATTACCATTACTTCCCCCCTCCCCTACCCCCCCCCCCCCCACCCACAATTGGAGACGCCTACAGTTGCTGACCCCTTTTCTAGGAAAAATATCATCCAATATCTGCATACATTTTCAGAAATCAAAGCCCATAAAAGCCAACTCCCCAAACATCAAAGGTTTTTTTTCTAGGATTGATCAAATTATTGCCTTAAAAACCAAGAAAAACAAACAAAAGTTCACCACCACCCCCCCCCCCTCTTTAAATTTTCTCTATTTTATTCGAGCATGTAGCTAGGCCCCCTCATGAGGCGCGGATGCAATGTATCGGTATTGGGTTCAACTAAACTCAGTACTTTAGTCGCGAAACATAAATTTATGTGTAAAAATTTATTAATATTACAATATATAGCATTACGAACTCATAACATTAAAAATACAATAGATTTAATACTAAAAACCTTAAAAATTAAACCCATAAAACTTAAATTCTATATCCGCCTCTGCCCTCCTCACATGCTCATAAGCAAGCAAACTTAAAAAAACCCTAGATGAGTATAAATCTATTGGTTCTTAGCCCATTTCCTAGCTTCTTTATACCCTTCTTATTTTCACCCCTTTATAAATCTCTCAAAACAACAGATCAAAGATATATAATGGAGTCAAACCAAGAAGTGGATTCTCCAAACCATGCCAATATCCACAACAATATGATATCCACTTCTTCTGCAGCTAATAATTACTTAGCTTCATCTTCTTCTTCTTCTCCAACAACCCTAAGCCGATATGAAAACCAAAAACGCAGAGATTGGAACACTTTTGGCCAATACTTAAGAAACCATAGACCACCTCTTACTCTTACTCGTTGCAGTGGTGCACATGTTCTTGAATTCCTTCGATACCTCGATCAGTTCGGAAAAACTAAGGTTCATACTCAACTCTGTCCTTTTTACGGACACCCAAATCCACCAGCACCTTGTCCTTGTCCTTTACGTCAAGCTTGGGGTTCACTTGATGCACTAATTGGTAGACTTAGAGCTGCTTATGAAGAAAATGGTGGAAAACCCGAAACTAACCCTTTTGGTGCTCGTGCTGTTAGGCTTTATCTTCGTGAAGTTCGTGATTCTCAAGCTAAAGCTAGAGGTATAAGTTATGAAAAGAAGAAACGCAAGAAACCAACTTCGTCTCAACAACAACAACAACAACAATCTTCTGCTGCATTTCCACTTCCTACTTCGACTTCAAGCTAATAATATATCGGAAAAACAGCCTCTCTGCCTTTACAAGGTAGAGATAAGACTCCGTACACACTACCATATTCCACTTATCGGATTACACTAAGTCTGTTGTTGTTATTGTTGTCGTAAGGTATGGTATGTTCTATTTCTAGCTATTTTAACAATTGGAATTTGGAACCCTTTCTCAAGTTACTATTTATGGAAATTGAAACACTGATCTTGATCAGTACTTTTTTTAGCTAATTATTATGCAAATGATCTAGAAGTGATACTGATAGTAATGGAAGTGGTAGTGGCACTGGGTGTTATATTAAAAGGGAAAAAAAAAAAAAAGATGTAGGTGAATTTTGTGCTATAGATCTACCAAACATTTTTTATGGATATTTTTCTATCTTGGCTGAAACCCTATTTATGATTTGTTGTTTCATAGATTTGCTATATCATGTTTCATGTCTTTTTGTTCATATTTTGCAAATTTTTTAATAGTAGGGAAAGTGTTAGTGACTTTGGCTAGATCATATGTCAGCTTTGTCTAGGACTGGTCTATCTTTCACACTGCAAATATACCGAATTTCATCACCAATCTATCAAAAAAAAGAAAAGTTTCATTTCCAATCATCTTTCTTTCTTGGCTAGTATTTTTGTACATAAATGGTTTTCATCTATATGTTCTTTTATGGTATGTATTTTTAATTTGAATTAGTATATAATTTTTCCTCTCCGGCCAATATAAGCATTTTTTGCCGGTCAGCTTTAGTCAACTGACCAAGGAATTTTTTTTCACTAACCTACAATCTTTATAATCCAAGGGTTTTAAGGAAAGCTCTTTCGAATTCCTGTATAATTTAATCATTAGTATAACAACTTATATTTGAAAACTTGTAAATTTTACTGCTAATTAGAACATGTTGATATTTGAGTTCATTTTATTTATTGAATCTATTGGAAGTAATCTATATTCTGAAGAGTTTAACCTCCAGTTTGGCCATAAAATTTGGGGATTTTTTTTTCTTTTTAAATTTTGTTTTCAAATATCTATTTGTTTATAGATTTTAACCATTTTTTGGCGGATTTTGAAAATAAAATCTTCAAATCCCAAAAAACATGTCTAGAGTAGCTTTTGAAAATTTGAAGTTTCCTACTCAAAAAATTTCAAATTCTTTTCAAGTAAAATGCATGTTCAAACACAATTTTAACTTTCAGAAATCATTTTAAATCTCATCTTCAAAAACTTTTTTTTTTTTCAAGTTTCAACCAAATCTATGTCCAAACGATAACTAAGTTAGTGTTAGGAAGATGTAATAGTTACTGACACTATTAGGTCATTGAAAGCTAATTGCACTAATTCTATTTGAATTTTAGTTTTCATACTGACTGTGTAAAGAATTTTTACATTATTAGTTTATTATTATAACATGTTATTACACCATTTTTTAGATTATCCCTGATAGTCTAAATTGTTTTACATTATTAGTGCATAATACTTAAACTCATCATGTTAATAAGCATTTTATTGATGGTATAAAAAATTATAGACATTTTTTTTTTAATTTGGTAATTAAATGCTTTCATTAATCACCAATAAACTTTAGAAAGTCATAGCTTAGCCAAGACAAAAGTTATAAACATTGTCAAATGTATATAGCTTCAAATCCTATTATGAATACTTCTCAACTTCTTTTGTCCCTTTTTTCCTTAATTCTTTCTGAATTCCTCAGCAAGATCTTATGACGTCTTTTATTAACCCAAATTCATCTCCCATTACTCTATTGTGTCATCTCAGTCTTAGATGTTCCCCTAAAGTGGATAGAGCATTAAATTAGAGAGGTACATTCACCATTTAAAGGTCACTCCAACAGTATAATCTACTTAGATATATTGCACATTTATGGCCATTTAGCCTTGACCCAAAAAAGACAAACCTTACCTCCAAAATACTTACTACATGTGATTGCTAGCAGGCCGAGCTAGAGGGAAGAAGAGGTTCATCCCGATTTTTTTCGCCGAAAAATTATATTACATGTATATAATAGGGATATTATTATTTTTAGACTGCGTCAGAAATTATTTACATTTGGTTGCCGAAGAATTGTATAATTTTTATATAAAACATACATAATGTATACATATACAAAAAATATACAAATTTTATATATTTTCGACTATCATTTTTATAGCGATTGTACAACGTCATTTTTCCTATATAATAGAGTTGAACTCCTTATTGAAAAGTCTGTTTCTGCACTAATTTGCCTCAAATTTATGGCCAAAGACTAGTCCATTTGTGGTGCAAATGACAATATTAATTATGCTTTATGATAATTATAAGCGATCCCAATTTTCTTCTTCTGTGTGTATACATGTTAGTAGTAAATATGTGTTTGTATGTGATAACTATAAGCTGCATGTATTCATATGATGTAGACTTATAGGAGCAATTTGTATTGTACCATTGCCTTTCCTTAATCTTAATTTCAACTTATTTTGGCATTCGTGATTATTAGCATTATCTTATGGTTTTAAGAAACTTTATGTTATAGATAGTGATGCTTGTGTGACATTATTTTGAGTGATATGAATTATTGGCATAACTAATTAGTCCCTCAGGTAGGGAGGGAAAGGTAGAGTTCAACCTAAAGACTAGTCAGGTGGAAAAATGATGTAAGTTATAGAGGTAACTCAATATGCAGTTTTACGGACAGACATTTTAGGAATTACTTTTACCAGGAAAGTTTTGGGATATATGTAATAGGAATTTGACAGTATGATCTAGCTACAACTATGCGAGAGGTAGCAGTACTCCTTTGGTGTTAGGATCGAAATAATGAGGCGTCATGCGGAAGTTAGTAAAGCATATCTTCAATGACGATAATTAGATAACAAAAGAGAAATATACCAAAAGAGATATATATAAATATTTAACGTGGTTCAGTCAATTGTCCTACATTCACAGGCGGAGAAGATTAATCCACTATATTAAAAAAAAATATAAAATATCGAGAACAACTTCACAAAGAGGCACACACAAGTGTCGGGCTAACACTTGTCCTTAAAATTCTCCCCCTAAATAAGATTCTCAAACCCCTACATTGTAGATGCTACTAAATGAGAAGGAACGATCCTTAAGTTATAGAAGTTCAAATTTTTTTTTCCTCTAACGAAAAATGCTAGCCAAATATGAAAGAATTATATTTTTGTTGTCGTAATGGAAAAAATCAGTCATGTTAAATATGTTGTCTTTCATTGAAGGAATATGAAAAACAAAAATGTAAGAAAATCAGGACAAACACTTAACAATTCTCCCCCTAGGCCTAAATCTTCTAACAAAATTAATTTGATCTATCTTCTTCACATAACCTTCAACAGTTCGCATCTCTAAATCTCCACCAAAAAGTTTGTCTGAACATCAGTAATAGTCCGGCCAAATTTTTCAGATAAAAATCACGATTACTGTCAAATAGATTGCGGCTAGAACTAAACCCGCTTAGATGAACTTGTCTTGAACCTCGCTCTGATACCACTTATTAGGATCGAAATAATCATTTGTCATGCGGAAGCTAGTAAAGCATATTTTCAACGATGATAAATCAGATAACAAAAGAAAAATATACCAAAAGAGACACAAACATTTAACGTGGTTCAGTTAATTGACTTGTGTCCACAGGGCTGAGATCAATTCACTATATAAAAAAAGAGTACAAACTATCGAGAGAACAACTAAAGAGAAACACACAAGTGGCCGGCTAATTCTTGTCCCAAAAATTCACCCCTAAACAGGACTTTCAAACCCATGTATTGTGGATGCTACTAAATGAAAAAGAATGATCCTTAATTTATAGAAGTCCAAAACCTTTTTACTCCAAGAAAAATGACTAGCCAAGTATGTAAGAATTATATTTTCATTTTTGTAAGAAGAAAAATAAATTATGGCAAATTGTTGTCTTTTCTTCGAGGGTTAGGAAAAACAAATATGGTAAAAAAAAAAAAAAACAAATACCTAACATTTGGTTTGCAATAATTGCTGCTTATTTTTGCATTTATAATATTAATTATCCTTTAAACAAAAAAATGCAGTTTTGCGAAATTGATATTAGTTTAAATTAAATGATCACCTTTAAATAGAGGTAGAGATCCAACTAACAAAATTATCCACTAATCCACTAACAAGATGTTATTAGGATCAAGTAAGTTGACTGTGAAGATGCATCAAATAATCTTCTTGTGCATTAATCTTAAGTCCTTAAACTTTTTTCTTAATTAAAATATAAAAAATTGCAAATAAATTACTGGAAGAAATAAAATATATTCCTAAGTACGCGTTATTAGCATTTTGGTCAAACGAACTCTGATTACTGTTCCAATTAATTGTCATTGTTGATCTCGCTTAATTTAAGGGAATAACGAGAAGGTTTTAGAACATATATATGATGCAGAAATACTGTTTACTTATTAATTATATCTAAATTGACGCTTTATTATTTGCTTAATGTTTTACTACTTTTTCTTCTTTAGACCTACCATGATATGAAACATGATTTCTTGTCTGCCTAAAGTACACCAAGCTGCCTAAATGTAAACTACTAATGAGAAAATTAGTAAAAATTTAGCAGAAATTTACCTCTGATAGATATGACTAAAGGAATATTGATGAAAGACAATACGAATACTATTTTAAGACAAAAAATTTGCTAAGCTAAGAAAGGCTAAAGTCCTAGAAGACAATTTTTCAAATATGATATTGTATTCCAATAAAAATATGAGCATAGTAAATTTTAACACGAAAAAGAAAATTATCAGCACACGTTTTGAATTAGCACTGGGAATTCTTTTTTTATTTTTTATTTTATTTTCTAACACTCATCATTTTCATAAATTAGTATTATCAACTATCAAGCATTGATAATGATTCATTCAATGGTCAACTCTACATCTGTATGTTTACTAGAAAACTTATGAAGGTACTCTTCCGTCCCGATTTATATGATGGTATTCAAATTCCGAGAGTCTAACTTCTTAAGTTTTTGACGGAAAATTTTATTTTGTGTCTCATACAACTGATACTAGTTGTATGAGGCATCTTTTTTGTCTTACATTTTTGTGGATCCAAATTTTTGTGAACCCAGAAGTGTAAGATTGGGGTCCACAAATTTGTGAGACAAAAAGGAGCCTCACACAACTAGTGTCAGTTGTGCGAGGCACACAATAAAACTTCTCAGTTTTGACATATATATTGAAATCGAGGG